GCGTCTGGTGGTGCACTGGTAGTGACCCTAACTCTGGGCTAGGAGGCCTGGGTTCAAGTCTCATCTGTTTCAGAGGTATTTTTAATAACATCTCTGAATTGGGGTTGATTTAAAAAGTACCCAGTCTGAGAAACTCACAAGAAATGTTTGGGGACAGAGCTTATTGACCTCCAACAACCCACATTTGCCCTGGAAAGCAGTGATGGATGATTATCTTGAATCTCTGAATAAAAACCGAAAGAGTTGTGGATGCTGTAAATCAGGAAAAAAATAAAGTTGCTGGAAAAGCTCAGCAGGTCTGGCAGCATCTGTGAAGGAAAAAAGAGTTAACATTTCATGTCCAGATGAGCCTACCTCCTCATCCTTTCCACTCTTTCCAACCTAGTCTGTACCAGGACTCTCGGCCTCTCATGTTGCCTGAGAAAGAAAGCACAGCCCTGCTTGACATGGAACAGAAGGCAAGATGTTAACCTGCCTAAAACCTGTTCACTAGCATAGTGTTAAAATCCGGCCCAGTGTGTTCTGAACAGTCTGGTGCTTGGGAAGAAATGCTGAGAAGACTGCATGAGTTTCTTTCTGACACACTTTTGCCAACCATCTCAGTGACCAGGCAAGATGACAGGCAGGAAATGGACACCCATGATGATACAAAAGCAAAGAGCAGAAATGAGCAAAAGGATGTGGAAAAAGTTCTGGGAAATGGTAATCAGCTGGACCAGCCTTTACAAAGTTATTGTCTTAAATCAAATTTTGCAGCTGCACAATGTCTGCTTCCTATAAAATCCTGTAAACTTGCACACTGTTGACACCTGAAGTGTGTGACTCATAGCTTCAATCCCCATTTAATTTTCAATCTCCAGCAGACCACTTTCCTTCAGCTCAGTTGCATCAGGGCTGGGAATGAAAACATGTAATCCACTTAACCTGGGAAGCCAAGTCCATAACCACTGGGACCTGGCACATGGGGGATGGCTGCTGATCTTTGAGAGAGCTCATTCAGATCTGCTTAATGGAAAATCACTGGCTGCTGAGCTATAACATTACAACCAGGACTGATCCAACAGTCGAACTTTCTGAGAGTGCTGCCTATTAAGGTCAGTACCTGAGTAGCATCTTTCTGTACCAAAAGATCTTCAAAATGCTTCATTCCATTAATTACTTTCTTCAAATTGCATTCGGAATTGCTTTGTTGACAAACAGACATGAAAGTGTTAATTCAGTATCCACTGTTTTCTGACATCTGTTCTATTCATTGGAAGCAAATTCCCAGAAGAGTTCATAGACAGGCATTGGACCATAATTAGTATGTGCCTACTTTAAGTGACCATTTATCATGCCTCAAAACTGGCCCCAACCAATTTAGCACTGGTCCAAGTGCTAATATATATTGGGCACAGGCTGTCCCACTCCTAAATTTGTCAGTGTTGTGCCTCTTTATTTAGTTAGTAAATGCTGAACAATAATAAATAGCTGCATGTCAATTTCTAATTCCACAAGTCCAAAATTAGTTGCAAGTTACATGCAATTGGATTTTTGAAATATTCCATTCCACTTTTGTTTTCTTATACTTTCTTAAAAAGTGCTACACAATAGTAGTCAGTTTATTTCTGATACGTTAGCCAAGTGGCAATTTTTTATAGGAATGCTAGCTGTCTTTTTTTGTCTTAGAGCAGAGGGAATATAGTCAGGCCTTATCCTGTCCTAAGTCACAGTGTACACATAAACACACAATCTACACACATATACACACCACACACCGACATCAATACACGTATCATCTATCACTTTACACAAACACACACCACCTTATGTACACATGTCTGCATTATACACAAATATATACATGCATGCATACAATCATCTGCATACACATTGCATTACACACATATAACAGCACTCATTCATATTCATAAACACACACCATGTGTATACACAGAAATATGCACACGTTTTCAGTTTTCAGTAGGAATTATTGGACAATAAAGGATAAAGCCCAATCTGATTCTTCACTTCCCCAGGAAGAATACATAGCCTGATCCAATTTAAACAAGCACTCATGGTTTTTGATTTTGATTTGATTTGATTTATTATTGTCACATATATTGAAAGACAGTAAAAAGCATTGTTTTGCATGCTAACCAGACAAATCATACCTTACATAAGTACATCAGGGTAATAGAACAGAATGCAGAATATAGTGTTACAGCTACAGGGAAGGTGCAGAGAAAGATCAACTCTAATATGTTAGAGGCCTGTTCATAAGTCTGATAACAGCACAGAAGAAGTTGTTCTTAAATCTTTTGGTATGTACTTTCAAACTTTTGTATCTTGCCCCATGGAGAGGGGACTATAATTTTTGTCTCTTTAGTGATGCATGTTATTTTGTGTGGTTGATAAATGTCTTGAGCAGGATATTCCGTCATCAGTAAGTCTGTTCAAACAACATGCCAGGTGAGTAATTAAAAATAAATAGTATAGGGTAGAAGTAAATATTAATTTTAAAATGTATTACATTGACTTACAAATTGGACTGTTTCTGATAATGCCACTGCAAACCACAACCTGTACTCAACAGAAGAATCTGAATTAGGTAATTTTAAAAAAAAATTAGATATTATTATTGCCTTTGATAGAATTCATCATTTCACTCCCAATTTTCTTAGCTTTCTCCTCCTTTTCCAGGTTTACTAAAGTCTACTAAGCCTCACACCTACGTACACGCTGTTTTGAACTAGTTGCTGGGAGAAGTGAAGCGTCAGTCCTAAGTAACTCTGATGATTTCTTTTTGTTTTGAAGTCCATTTAACTGTGGCTGAGTTTGTCAGTGACCATAGTTGGTTGCTAGGTGTGTCAAAGCTGACTAGAAAGTACTACCTTGGGTTGTAAATCCCAGACAAGGATTTCCTGACCAGTTGAGTGTTTCAAAGGAAATAAATAATCTCGGAACTCTCCCATGGAAGCAACATGAGTCTCCAGTCAGTTTTCCAATGGATAGGCGAGATCTCTGTTGCCCATATTAAATTAAGCCCAATGAAGTTACTTTTTTTAGGGGCAATGAAATGTTATCTCAAGGTGTTGCAAACATAACACTGTTTACTAAGTGGTGAGTTACCTGAAAAATATTTGTGCACTATTGGTTTGGAGACACAGTCATCTATAGATTGCATCAGCTATCTGTATCCCAAGTACTCTAAATGACTAGAAAATGAAGAGTATTCTGTATTGACATTGGTCCTTTTCATTAAGAGAATATTCATTGCCACTGATTTATTAATACTGATACAGTAGATTTATTTCAGAGTTAAGGATTGCAGCATGACCTTCATTTTCCAGGAGAAGCTCATTGTGATGGCTCCAGGGCATGCCATTGTAAAGCCATAGAGCGCAATATTTGTGTTCACCTAATCCTCGCCAGGAAATTGCACAGAGTGAGCGGTTAAGCACATTCAGTGCTTTATCACACCTCTTCAAACAATCATAAAGTGCCTTGTGGACAAGGAATCACTTTGAAGTAATGATTTACCCTGTCCATGATTAGCAGATTCCCATAAACATTAAATGGTGAAATGACCAATTCATCTTTTTGTTTTGCTTAAAGAGGAAATTTATAAAAAGATTGATGTGTTCCTGAAACATAGGAGGTCGCAGATAAGTCTCAGTTTAATTTCCCAGCTACTGAAACGTTAGTCTAGATTAATTTAGCTACTGTTGCACAGGGAATCGAGGTCATCAACTTGAATTCAGATAGAAGAGTACAACAAACTGAGCCAAGGTGACACTAGAAGGAGTTTAACAGAGAGATGCTTCCATAGTCTGAGTTAAAATCAGCATTTGTTTCATATCTGTGTGCTCATAACACAAGAACTCCACTGTGAGAGGTCGCATGAATACAGGGCAACTCAAGAATCCAGAGGAGAAACCGTAATTTCAACTGTTCAAGTTGGAATGAGAACAGGATGTTAATCAAATCCACAAAATGGGTTCAATTCTTCAAACAATGGAAAAGACATTCAGCTGACTCTTTTGGGCTGAAAATGAGCATTTGAACATCTGGTGGTGACCTTGTACCCAGTTGCCCACCTGAATCATCTATTAGGTAATACATTAAAAAGGCACCCAATGTTTGTAAGGGAGACCATTTCAATATGTGAATTGGGGTGCTGTGCTTATTCCAGGAGTTTATTGCTGTTTTCAAACTGAAATGGGTGAGGCATATTTAAATACCAGTGCCATCTTTCCAGGTGCTGGGAGAGACCTAGCCAACATTCTTTAAAGGTGGGAGAGTAGGAAATAAGCCAGTAAAAAGATTTTACATCATTTAAATACTTAGATTACTATGAAATACATTATTGGGTTTTGAACATTGCTGGGAAGATCAGTATTTTTTGCCCCTGCCAATTGCATTTAAGTTGAAATTTGCATTTCCCAAGATGATTTCTCAGTTGATCAGTGTCTGGCTTCCCTGATAAAAAGTCATCATCCCAAATAGTCTCCAGGCTTTTCTCAAACTGAAGGCAAGGTAGTTCTGTTACGCTGATGTCGCTGGGATCGTAATTCAAAGATATGCAGGAATGGTGGATTTTAAAATGAATTAATAAATCTGAAATATAAAGCTACTCAGAATAAAGATGACAATGTTATTGTAAAAATTCATCTGGTTCACTGATGAATTATGGAAAGTATGGAAGAAAATCTGCCAATCTTCCCAGATCTCCATACCCACAGCAATGTGTTTGATTCTTAACTGGCCTCAGAAATGGCCAACCATTTCAAGGTCAATCAGAGATGGACAACATATGCTAACCCTGCCCGTGATGCTGGTATGCAACGAATGAATTAAAAAAATTGTCTATGCAGCGTATTTGCAGTGTTCTCTGTCGTAATTTCAGATTCCTCAAGCTCACTTACTTAAGAAAGAAACTCTGCCCTTGATTCATTATTTGTGATGATTTCTCACTTGGATGTGTGCAAACTTTCATTTTAGTTTCATCTGTTTTTCAGCGAGTGGTACCTGAATGGAAACTATCTGGTGGTCATGGCATCAGTCACGGTCGTTTTGCCTCTGGCATTAATGAAACAACTCGGTTAGTGTTCTGTAAAAGAATCTTGTGTGTTTAATATGTCTGTGAAATGGTATAACAAGGTCGGCTTTCACTGCCATCAAGTAATGCATCACATTGAGGCACTGGATAGTGAAAGAATGGGAACAATTTGTCTAATAAGGGTAATTATTTAGTTTGCTGCAAATATAGATGTACTCCAGATGCTGGAAATCTGAAACAAAAGAGCAGAAAATGCTGGAAATACCCAGCAGGTTCTGGTGAAAGGTCTTTGACCCGAAACGTTGGGCTGGATTTTCATGTTGGGCTTTGAAAATGCCAGTCAGGTCACTTCCCATGTTCAGAGATACAGACTTATCCCAGCTTCCTATATCAATCATATTTTCATCTCCAGGAGATATGGTTGGATGGAGTTAGAGTTTTCTGAGTCTCAAGACAGTGTTGAAGGAGCAAGAGTGCCTTGCCCCATCAATGTCCTTGCATAGCCGGGCTCCCATTGGCCTCAAGATAAATAGAACATAGAACAGTACAGCACAGTACAGGCCCTTCAGCCCACGATGTTGTGCCGACCTATTATCCGACTAAGATCAATCTACCCTGCATACCCCACATTTTACTGTCCTCCATGTGCCTATCCAAGAGTCGCTTAAAAGTCTCTAAAGTATCTGACTCCACTACCACTGCCGGCAGCGCATTCCCCATGCCCACCTATAGTTCTGGACCTTTTGATACTTAGCCAAACATTCATAATAGCCCCAGCTATCAAAACAAATCAACAATACGGTCTATTGAAACTGAAATTCCAGATCTTATGCAAGGTGCAATAGTGTTCCTTACTCTTTCAATACAGATGGCCTTCAATTAATGGAGCGTGGTAGGTGCTTAAAGTTTTTTAAATATTCAATAGCGTAATTGGAATCATGACGAGAGCTTCCCAACACATGATCTCCAATTTTGAATGAGTCTGGATCCAGAACTGAAAGAGTTTAAGCAAAATCAGAAAACACTCCACAATCTCCTTCAGACCACAGGATTTCATGGAATCTGCAATGCACAAACAGAACATTCAGTCTTAACAGTCCACACTGTTGCCAGTGCTTATACTATAAGTGAGTCTCATCCCATCCTTCCTCATTGAAGTTGATCAGCGCAATCTTCTATTTCCTCCTTCCTCATACACACATGTGCATTTACCAATTTGTTGCATCTGCACCAGTGCAATGGTACATCAAAATGTTCTGCAATTGCCCACTCCATCCCCCACCAGTCAAACACACTGAGAATCATTTTAAAAACACAAGGGGAAAATGTTATTCGCTACACTGGCTGCTAATTCTGAAGTGCTTGAGTCTAATTTGAAAAAATGAATTCATAGCCACAGGAGGTGTAATTACATCACAATGAACAGCCCAACCTTTATCTGTCAAATTGAATGCTTGTCAGTTAGTGATGTACCATAGAAATTTGAAAGATTGAAGAATGTTCAACTTAAATTCCAAATAATTAGTTGGAGCAAAGAAGTAGGTCACAGTTGTTTTCAGTAATCCTCTCATGGCTTTTGGAGCCTTTTATTAAGTAATTTTCCGAAATCAGGTTCTGTTTTGTCATCTGAATTGATGGTTGTTTCAAATGATTTTTGGTTCAAATAATTCAAATGATCTGGGGAGGAGGGGAGAAGATTTAATAAGAAATGGCTGAACCTAGACAGGCTGCAGCCAGTAGTTTTTAAGTGAAAAACTCAGAACTAAGGGTTACTGAGAAGGGTACAAGTGCGCAAAAAATCTTTTACTTCTTTTCAGCTTGTGAACGGATTCAGATGAATAAAATTCCCTGATACAACTCTCATTTTAACTATATCAAAGGGAATTCTATTGAATATTTTTGAAGCACTTGAAAAGTTAATGTTTTCTATGCATCTTTTAATTGTAGGCTACCTGGGATACACCAGTGGTTTCTCCCTGAGCTGCATGGTTTTCTTTCTAATTGTGGTAAGTATGCTAACATCAGTAGCTTGGTAGCAGAATTAAGCTCCTTCTATGAGGGTAAACAATGAGAAGACTGCGCATTTGGCAGAATTGTATTCTACAAACAGTGATAATCTGACAACATGCAAGCGGTTCAGAGGTTTGGAACAGGATTAGGCATTCTGATTGGTAACTTAACTCCATTTATGGCCTTTGATGTGTATTCAATAGATACCCATTAAAAATATATTGATCAAAATCTCAAAAATTTCAGTAGCTGCAAGTTATTGTTAAAACAAAAAAAAGTGTTTCCATCATGTTTATCATGTTGCATCAGCTGTGGCTCATTTGGTCATATTCGTGTCTCTGAGTCACAAGGTTTCAGGTTCAAGTCCCACTCCAGAACTTAAGTACAGAAATCAAGACTGACATGCCTTGAGGGCAGGGTTTAAACTAGTGTGGCAGAGGGGTGGGAACTGGAACAACAGTCTAGTAAGCGCAGGGACTGGGGACAAAAGAGAGACTGAGATATGCATAGCGCAGAGTAAGAGCAGGCAGAGGGAAGTCGCGGGGCTCAGAGGGATTGGAGATCTGGAGTGCATTCACTTCAATGCAAGGAGTATAACAGGTAAGACAGATGAACTATAAGCATGGATTACTGAATGGAATTATGATGTTATTGCCATTACGGAGACATCGTTAAAGGAGGGACAGGACTGGCAGCTTAACATTCCTGGATCTCGCTGTTTTAGACAGGACAGAAAAGGAAACAAAAGGGTTGGAGAGTTACACAGCTGGTTAGGGATCACATCACAGCTGTGTTGAGGGAGGACACATTAGAGGGATCTTGCACTGAGGCATTATGGGTGAAGCTCAGGAAAGGAAGGGTGAAATCACAATGTTGGGAGTTTTCTATAGATCTCCCAACAGCCCATGGGAGACAAGGGGAGCAGATATGTAGTCAGATACTGGGAAGGTGTGAAAAAAGCAGTATAGTTGTGGTGGGTGACTTCAACTTTCCTCTTATTGACTGGAACTCTCTTACAGCCAGGGGCTCAAACAGAGAGCAATTTGTTAGATGTCTCCATGAGGGCTTTTTGAAACAGTATGTTGACAATCCAACCAGACAAGAGGCCATACTAGACTTGGTATTAGGGAATGAGCCAGGACACATGATCGATGTTTCAGGACAAGAGCATTTTGGGCTGAGTGATCACAACTTGGGCAGCACGGTGGCTCAGTGGTTAGCACTGCTGCCTCACAGTGCCAGGGACCAGGGTTCCATTCCTCCCTCGGGCAACTGTCTGTGTGGAGTTTGCACATTCTCCCCGTGTCTGCGTGGGTTTCCTCGGGGTGCTTCGGTTTCCTCCCACAGTCCAAAGATGTGCAGGCTAGGTGGATTGGCCATGCTAAATTGCCCGTAGTGTTCAGGGATGTATAGATTAAGGGGATGGGTTTGGGTGGGATGCTCTGTGGATCGGTGTGGATATGCTGGGCTGAAGGGCCTGTTTCCATACTGTAGGGATTCTAAAATTCTAAAAAGAACTCCATAAGATTTCAAGTAGTCATGGACAAGAACAAGAGTGGCCCTTAGGTGAGGGTGCTTAATTGGGCAAGGTCCAATTACAACCACATTAGACAGGAACTGGGGAATGTGGATTGGGAGCAGTTATTTGAGGGCAAATCTACATCTGGCGTGTGGAAGGCTTTTAAAGTCTGATTGATTAAAGTGCAGGACATGCATGTTCCTGCAAAACTAAAGAATGGGAATGACAGGATTCAGGGACCATGGATGGCAAGGGAAATTGTAAGCTTAGTGAAAAGGAAAAAGGAAGCATATGGTAGATCTAGGTAGCTACAAACTAACAAAGCCCTGGAGGAGTATAAAGAAATTAGGAAGGAACTTAAACACGGAATTCAGAAGGCTAAAATGGGCCTTGAAACGTCTTTAGCAAACAGGATCAAGGAGAATCCCAGGGCTTTTTATGCTTATATTAGAAGAAAGAGTGTAGCAAGGGAAAGAGTAGGCCCACTCAAGGACGAAGGAGGGAAGTTATGCGTGGAGCCACAGGAAGTAGGAGAGCTCCTTAATGCGGACTTGGTATCGGTGTTCACCAAGGACAAGGACATGACTGATGCTGAAGTCAGGGATGATTATGTGAATACTCTAGAGAGTGTCAATATATTGAAGGAGGAAGTTTTGGGTATCCTAAATTGTATTAAATTAGTCAAGTCTCCAGGGTCAGATGGGATCTATGCCAGGTTAATGCGAGAGGCAAAAGAAGAAATAGCTGGGGCGTCAGCAGTATGAATCTTCAAATCCTCTTTGACCACAGATGAATTTCCAGAGGATTGGAGATTAGCCAGTGTTGTTCCTTTCTTTAAGAAAGGAAGCAGGGATAATCCAGGAAACTATAGGCTGGTGAGCCTGATGTCTGTGGTGGGAAAGCTCTTGGAGAAGATACTGAGGGACAAGATATATGCACATTTGGAAGAAAATAGACTATTTAGTGACAGGCAGCATGGTTTCGTACGGGGAAGGTCATGTCTCACCAACCTGATTGAATTTTTTGAAGAAGTGACAAAGATAATTGATGAGGGAAGGGCTGTGGATGTAGTTTATATGGACTTTAGTAAGACATTTGATAAAGTCCCACGTGGTAGATTGGTACAAAAACTAAAATCTCAAGGGATTTGGAGTAGGTTGGCTAGGTGATACAAAATTGGCTTGGTTGTAGAAGCCAGAGGGAAGTGGTGGAAGAGTGTTTTTCAGAATGGAGACCTTAACTAGTGGTGTTCCGCAGGGATCAGTCTTAGGTCCTCTGTTGTTCATAGTGTGTGTATATATATATATATATATATATATGATCTGGAGGAAAGTGTGCGTGGTCTGATTAGTAAGTTTGCAGATGACACGAAGATTGGTGGAGTTGCTAATAGTGCCGATAATTGTGAAAGGATACAACAGGATATTGATAGATTGTTTACTTGGGCACAGAAATGGCAGATGGAATTTAATCCAGATAAATGCAAAGTGATGGATTTTGGAGGATCAAATTTCAGTGTGAATTACACTGTAAATGGCAGAAACCTTAGGAACATTAACAGACAGATGGATCTGGGCGTGTAGGTCCACAGTTCCCCAAAAAATGGTAACAAAAATGGCCAAGTGATTAAGATGGCATATAGCATGCTTGCCTTCGTCAGCCAAGGCATGGAATACAAGAGTTGACAAACCATGTTGCAGCTGTATAAAACCCTTGTTAGGCTGCAGTTGGAGTCTTGTGTGCAGTTTTGGTCGCCACATTACCAGAAGGACATGGAAGCTTGGAGAGAGTACAAAGAAGGTTCACCGGGATGTTGCCCAATCTCGGGGACATTGTTAATGTGGAAAGGTTAAAAACACTAGGCTTGTTTTCACTGGAAAGATGGCAGCTGAGAGGAGACCTGATAGAGGTCTATAAAATTATGAGAGGCATAAGATAGGTGGATAGTCAGAGGCTTTTTCCCAGGATTGAAGTTTCAATTAGTGGGGGCACAGGATCAAGGTGAGAGAGGGAATGTTTAAGGGACATGTGCGAGTGACGCTTATCACACAGAGAGTGTTAGGACCCTGGAACACACTGCCAGAAGGGGTGATGGAAGCAGGTACGTCGGCGACATTTAAGAGGCATCTAGATCATTGCATGAATAGAGAGGGAATAGAGGAATACATACTGAACAAAGGCAGAAAGTTTGTTTTTTAGTTTAGTTAGGGCATGATGATCTACACGAGCTTGGAGGGCCAAAGGGCCTGTTCCTGTGCTGTACTTCTCTTTTGTTCTGCCAGTGCAGTCTTGAGGGAGTGCAGCACTTTCAGAGGCGCTGTCTTTCCAGTTCCATCTGCCCGCTTGTGCGGTTATAAATACTCCATTACACTACTTCAAAATGAAACAGGAGCATTATCCGTTGTGTCCTGGCCAATACTATCTCTCAATCAATATACAACAAAAATTATCTTGCTATTATCGTGTTTCTGTCTCTGGGAGTTTGCTGTGTACAAATTGGCTCCCGAGTTCTTATATTGCAAAAGTGATCTAATTTCCAAAGTAAAACACATTAAAATCTACAAGGGTCACAAGCATGCTGTATAAATGTGTGTCTTTTTTAAAATTATAAATTTACGTGTGGCAATGCTGGAATGTTTAACGTCTTCAAGCATTTGCAACCATTACAGCAAACTGTCGGTTAGTAAAAGCGTTCTGTTGGTGTCTCAATTTGGAAGGGTGCAGCTCATGCACAAAGATTGCAGGTAGAAGACACAGAGCAGCAGAGATTAGTTTAACTGATCAATATTAGACAGCTCAGAGCAAATCTGCCATTTTTGAAGGCTGAATAGAAGTGCGTGGTTGACGTCTAGCGGAGGTTTTAATTATTTCCTGATAGGGTTGGCATTGTTGCGCCTAATTCTTTCCTCAAATATTTTAGTGAGTTAAACAAACGAACAAATTTATTCTCATCAGAGTAACTTCTCTTAAAATGCAAGAGAAAAATTCAATACGAGAGTGCTCAGAGTTTGTATGTTAATATGGCCAAAAGTAATTATGATCTTTATGTGGCTGTTTCAGGTGATCTACAAGAAGTTCCAGATTTCCTGCTCATTTAATAACATCCATGCAAATAGTTCCCTTCTAGACAGTATCAACTATGACAATAGCACCAGCTACAACAATAGTGATGTTCACAAAGTCACTGAGGACCAGTGCACCCCTCGGCTGTTTACCATGAACTCTCAGGTAACTTAACAGCAGGATCCCTGTGGAAAATACTTTGAGGTTGTGATCTAGCCCTGACTCTGCAAATCTGTCTCCTTCATAAGGAGGCTGCCATCTTCCATATTGTCATTCTGAGGAGATGGGGCTGGAATGGAGGCAAGCGGGCAGTGAGACCAAACAAACACTCTCTTCCATTCACTCAGTCATATGTCTGCTCAGCTATATCCATGGCCGTCAGACCTTCAAATCTCATCTGTCCCTCACCTCCCCACACACACACCCACACCTCCATGCTGCTTCTCATCACCTTCATTTCTCCTCCATACACCAGCATTCGCTTTGGACATACTTCAGGAATCGTAGAGTCATTCAGAACGGAAACAGACCTTTCAGTATGAATTGTCCATGCGACCATGTTCCCAAACTAAACTAGTCCCACTTGCCTGCATTGGGCCCATATCCATCCAAACCTTTCCTATTCATCCACTTATCCAAATGTCTTTTAAATGTTGTAACCATACCTGCATCCTCCACTTCCTCTGACAGCTCATTCCACACATGAACTACTCTCTGTGTAAAAAGGTTGCCCCTCATGTCCTTTTTAAAACTTTTTCCTCTCACTTTAAAAATGTGTCCCCTAGTTTTGGAATCCCCCACCCGAGAGAAAAGACCCTTCTATTCACCTTCTATACCCCTCATGATTTTATAAACCTCTGTAAGGTCAGTCCTAAACCTCCTGCACTCCAGTGGAAAAAGTCCCAGCCTATCCAGGCTATTTTTAATCACTCAAACCCTCCATTCCCGTAACATCCTGGTAAATCTTTTCTGAAACCTCTCTAATTTAATAATATCCTTCTTACAACAGTATTTTTTTAATATTCATTCACAGGATGTTGGCTGGTGGCTGATCACTTATTGGCCCAGAGGGCATTACTCTCAGACTGGTGTCACATGTAGGCCAGACCAGATAAGAATGACAGATTACCTTCCTTAAAGGGCATTAGTGAACCAGATGGGTTTTTCCTGACAATTGGTACTGATTTTAGGTCATCATTAGACTATTATTTGATTGTTAATCGAGTCCAAATTCCACCATGTGCCTCAGCAGGATTCAAACTCGGGCCCCCAGATCATTACATCATCAGGGTCTCTGGATTAATAGTCTAGTGATAATATCACAAGGCCAATGTGTTCCCCTATTGCAGAAGAAGTCTTTTAAATGGATATGAATAAGATTGAACTGTCACCCAGCCACACAACATGAAGAAAACAAAACACGACCATTGGAAAATGACTAAATTCCTTCAAGTAGTTGTTAAGTCATAACAGTAAAACAATTTTCATGAACCAATCAAAGATAAACAACCCTTTAATAACCTCTTAAAGCAAACAAACTGTGTCCCCGATTCTCTACTGAGCTAAGCAGTTGAACTGCTTTGAAGCTCAGACAAGCGTTTCTAATGTTCAGCTGTCATTACAGCTTCTGACAATTGAAGCCCATTTAAAGTGAAGGTACAGATGTTTTGTTTTTCCATTTCAAAGCAGATGACTTGCCAACCAAAGAATTCCAGGAGCATGTGACTCTTCCTTATATATCCACCCTTGGAGTTAAGTTTCCCCTCAGCTCATGATCCCTCTGAGAAGTCATGAACTTCGTCTCCAATCAGAGGAGCTCAATTCAATCAAAACTGCATGATGGATCGGAAAGGTTTGAACTGCCCAATCCATGATGGAACCAGCAAAGTCTGGAATGTTGTGTGCAGGCTTGCTGCTTGATAACCTTTATTATGCACTGGCAAAAATTACTGGAAACAGGAATAAGGGCAAATGTCCCAGAATCATCTCTGCCTGTCATTTTGAAAAGCCCAGTTCAGTGAAAATCTGGGCCTTTGAATCTGTAATCCAGAGCACTGATGTATGAGACATTCCAGAATTTGTTTTTTGAACGTATTTGAAACCCTAGCTGATTGAAAGCCTCGTTACTCAATAGCGTTTTTTGTTAACTACATCCTACAGGATCTCCCATTGCATAGTTTGCAGCAAAGTAGAGAGCACAGTGTTTAATGCCATAATTTCTCAATTGAACTATCTCTTCAATTGAGGAGTAATAACAAAGCTGGAGGCTACAGGGTTGGGTCTAATGTTGCAAATATCTATCTCCCATTTTCATGGTTTGTTTTAAATAAATTCAAAGTTCTATCTCTCTCATTTTCAGACTGCATATACCATTCCCATCTTGGCTTTTGCCTTTGTCTGTCATCCAGAGGTATTGCCTATCTACACAGAGCTGAAAAAGTATGTATGCACGGGGTTTTCGATTGGTCTAATGGATGTCTTTGCTCTAGAGCTGAGCTACCAACAATGGTGCATTTTGAGTTCTGTAGTCATTGAAAATTTAATGATCCAGCTCTTTTTCCATTGTCTGTAAAATGAATGTGGATGAGTTCAAATATGATCTCTCAATATTATGACTGCACGTCCATTTTAGCAGAGATAGATTCTTGACTGACAAGTGAAGTCTAAAGATATCGAGGGTAACCAGGAATGTGTAGGTGAGGATCAGCCACATGTTTTTCAAGGGCTGAATGGCCTCCTCCTGCTCCTAATTCATCTGGGTCATATGCCAATCAGCTATTTGCTCAGGTTTTTTTCAGTATTCATTCACGTGATGTGGATGTTGCTGGCTAAGCCAGCATTTATTGCCTACGCCTAATTTCCCATAATACAGTTAAAAACCGAATACAGGCTGTGGAATCACCTGTAGACTAGGTAAAGATGGAAGATTTCTTCTTTAACTGGGCATTAGCAAACCAGATTGGTTTTATACAACAATCAATCACCTTTCCCTTTCATTACAAGCTTTTTATTTAAATTAAGTTCAGAATTTTAAAAAAACACCGCAGTAGGATTAGATGGGATAACACAGTGTGGAGCTGGAGGAACACAGCAGGTCAGGCAGCATCAGAGGAAAGCTGACATTTCGGGTCCGGACCCTTCTTCAGAAATGGATTTCTGAAGAAATGGATTTTAAAAATGCTTCTCTGATGCTGTCTGTCCTGCTGTGTTCCTTCAGCTCCACGCTGTGTTATCTCTGACTCCAGCATCGGCAGTTCTCACTATCTCATAGTAGGATTTGAACCCATTTCCCCAGAACATTTGCCGGGCCTCTAGATAACCAGCCTAGTGACGTTACCACTACCTCCCCATGTAGTAAACTCTTCCCAAATGTGACAAGTAAAGCAGGTTTTGCAGGCATTGAAATGTCAAGCTAGGGCTTTTCCAATTCATGTATGTCAACAAGCACCTTAATCCACTCCACAAAATTAAGTGAGGAGAGAATCATAGACAAATGGAAAATCTTGGTTTGGAATTGTCATGGGGCATGAACCTTCCCTATAGAGATAGCAAGAACAGCAGATGCTGGAAGTCAGAGTCAGTACAGTGTGGAGCTGGAGGAACACAGCCTGACAGGCAGCATCAGAGAAGGAGGAAAGTTGACGTTTCGGGTCGGGACCCTTCTTCAGAACCTTCCCTATAATTGAGCAGAAGAATCACAAATAGTGAGGTAGAGGGAGATCTTTAGGGCATGAAGAACGTAAAGAATGGGAGTACCCAGCAGACAAGAAGCCTTAATAAAAACCGAAAGAACTGCGGATGCTATAAATCAGAAACAAAAGCAGAAATTGCTGGAAAAGCTCAGCAGATCTGGCACCATCTATGAAGAGAAATCAGAGTTAATATTTCGGGTCTGGTGACCCTTCCTGAGAAGGGTCTGAGGAAAGGTCACCAGATCCGAAACGTTAACTCTGATTTCTCTTCACAGATGTTGCTAGACAAAAGCCATTGTCTGTCATCCAGAGGTATCGCCAAAGGAAAGAGGGAGTTCTCTGAAATGCAACAACAGCTAAGAATTAGGGGGCTGAAAAGAAAGAGAGAGATTCTAAAGCTCCCTTTTTCCTAGGAATTCTCATAGAAAAAGGGCAAAAAAATGGAGGAACTTAAAAGGAGAAGGAAGCAGGAAAGAAACAAGCCTCTTTTTTCAAAACTGCTTTGGAAGAGCGAAAGTATAATTAATCAATTTTCAAAGAAAATTAAAGATAGGAGAAAAGATAAATACTATGGACCTGATCTTATCTATGTGTGAACAAATGCATTTAAGTGAGATAAAATTGCACCTATACATCACTTCCGTTTTTTGATTTCTCCATCAAAAGATGTTGGGGAAAAAAGGTTACTTTTCACAGGTTCTTTCAAGTATAGTAGTTTTGGGCAAGGCAGTGGAGACTAAAGTGCTAATCAGCTAACCACGATGCCATCTCCCCATTGATTGTAAACAAGCAATGCTTTGGTATGTCACAGCATTTTAACAAATAATCTGTACTTGCAATATTGAAAATCTTCTTTTTGAGCTGTAAGTCACAAGAGATAAAGGACAATTACTGGGATATAAGCTGACAGGGAAGATCTGTTAATGTAGAATTCTGTGCAGACGGTCATGTTTTTAAGGAGAAAGCTGGATTTCATCAACATTAGGTGGCACAGTGGCTCAGTGGTTAGCACTGCTGCCTCACAGTGCCAGGGAACTGTTTCTGTGGAGTTGGCCTGCTCTCTCTGTGCCTGAGTGGGTTTCCTCTTTGTGCTCTGGTGTCCTCCCACAGTCCAAAGATGTGCAGGTTGGGTGGATTGCCCATGGTGTGCAGACTAGGTGAACTATGGGAAATGCAGGGGTAGGGGCTGGGCCTGAGTGGGATGCTGTTTGGAGGGTTGGTGTGGACTTGATGGGCTGAATGGCCTTCTCCCACACCGTAGGGCTTCTACAATGAAGCATTCAGAAATGCTGCAGTGGGAGTTCAAAACCATCTCCCTAATCAAGGGAGACCATCTGCAGAAGTTGATCAACATGGTGTGTTCTTTTTGGATCATTACGTAAAGATAGGTAGCAGTGTTTGCATTGCGTCAGTTTGGACCTAACTGCTTATTGGGTATTTACATCATTATGAAGCCTAGTAACTTGTCCTGTTTGTATCAAATGTGTCACCAATTGATGGCTCATTTGGAGAAATGAAAGGCACAAATATCTGATTCAGATCACCCTGGGGATCCTTAGTTACGTCTCCAGGCTACATAATTGTAAACAAACATATGTCAGCGTGAATTAACTCTCAGGAAAATAAACTGATCAGAGCATTTGCTGCTGAACATAAGAAGCTATCTTCAGCAAACCTAAAGTTGTAATTTCAGATGTCTTGTGAGGGGATATGTAGAATTTTCTTCTTTAATGACAATTCCAAAAGCTTTTTGCTGTTTTATATCTGAAATGTATAACTTGTATTTCAGCCCCACCAAGAAAAAAATGCAGCATGTGTCAAACATCTCTATCCTGGTCATGTACCTCATGTATTTTCTTGCTGCGCTGTTTGGATACTTGACATTTTATGGTGAGTTTAAAAAATGCACTTTTGCTCATTTGTATTCCACGTTGTGTACGAAAGTAGAAACAACACACGATATTCACATGAACTTAATCAATTTGCAATATTTGTTGCACATTATAGATAAGGTGAATGGTAGGTGTCTTTTCCCTAGGGTGGTGAATTTCAGGACTAGGGGCCATATTTTTAAGGTGAGAGGAGAAAGATTTAAAGAGGATATGATAGGCAACTTTCTTACACAGAGTGGTTCGTGTGTGGAATGAACTTCCAGAAGAAGTGGCAGATGTGGGTACAGTTAAAAGACATTTGGTTAAGTACATGAATAGGAAAGGTTTGGAGGGATATGGGTCAAGCTAAGGCAGGTGAAACTAGCTTTGCTTGGGATTATGGTCGACATGGACTGGTTCGACCAAAGGGTCTGTTTCAGTGCTGTATGACTCTATGACCTCTTTTTAAACTGATCTTCTCATAAATACCCTGCTTAAAATTAGACACAGTATTTAACAGTGTTCTTAACAGCATTATACAAATATCCACCATAGCCTGCTTGCATTTTGTTGTATCTGTACCTTGTTTTTAAGAGAATTCATCATGTGCTGTATGTATACAATATTGCAGCTCTGCCTGTTAGTTAGTCTGTTGTGGATCTGAACACACACGCACACACACACACACACACACACACACACACACACACACACACACACACACACACACACACGCACACACACACACACACACACACACACACACACACACA